CATTCACCAACGGCTAAGCTGTGGGCTGCCCGGTGTTGCTGGGCCTCCCAAGTCTTCTACCTTTGACAGGGCGCGGTCACCCCTTTCTAGTCAGCTGCCCGGTGCTTAACCACTGTACCACCACCAGCACCCTTAACCTGGGCCGGGGTCACTTAAGTAAGGAGAGAACGAGGCGTTTGTTTTCCCACCTGCTGGCATTAAGTCGCTTCTGACTCCGAGAGATCCACTCAGGGGTTTCCAAGGCTGTACAGACTGCCTCCTCTTTCTCTCCAGGAGGGGCTGGTGGGTTTGGACTCCCCCACCTTGCGGTTAGCAGTCTAATGCTTACTCCACATTGTGACCACCAATAATGTTTCTTTGACACACACCCCCCACCAATGCTTCCATATTGAATAAGTGAAATTTGAAGAATGAATTAAGATGCCCATCCATCCTTCATGTGTACCAAAGTTTAGAACCCTTCAGAGGTTGGTTGAAGAAAGAAAGGCTGCAGGTTTGGGGGACCCGGGACATTGTTTCACCTGGTCCCTGAAGGTGCACATTCTCATTCGCTGGGTGTCTGTTCCCTTCACACTCTGATGACCCCCACGGCTGTGGGTTGGCAGCCTCACTTCTCCCCCAAGCGCCAGAATTGGGTGTCTTCCGGGAGCTCCCCCACATAGTGTGGTTCCCAGACCAGCAGCATCAGTATCTCCTGGGTGGGAACTGGCTAGAAATGCGTATTTTGCCCTTGACCTTCCCCACTGCCGTCAAGTCCACCCGACTCCCAGGTCCCCTATGGGAGAGAGTTCAACAATTCTCTTGGCTTTCCAAGGCTGCATGGAGACAAAATGCTGCATCTGTCTCCCGTGGAGTGGCTGATGGGCTCGAACCACAGACCTTACAGTTAGCGCCAACTGCCTAACCCCTGTGCCACCAGGACAGAGGGGGCAGTGTCCGGCAATGAGCTCCAGCAAACCCTTCCAGTGAACAATAGGCCGACAGTGTTTGAAAGTCACTGAGCCAGATGCTTCCTATGAGATGCTCTGGGACGAGCCTTTGGGGCCTCCGGCTTGGCCTGGTCCTACCTGGCTGACTGCCCTTTCCTCTCATCATCAGTGTGTTAGTCTGGGTAGACTAGAGAAACACATTTCATAGACACGCAAGTGTATCAGAAAGAGCTTTACAGTGAACCCTCGTTTATCGCGGTTAATCGGTTCTAGACCCTACCGTGATAAATGAAATTCCGCGAAGTAGGATTCCTTATT